TTTGTTAATTATATTCATAACCTCCTCTTGAGCTAGACCAGGTTTAGATTCCGTTGATTTAGATAAGTTATTTTTAGAGGAGCTGGTTTTATGACGTGAAGAGTCACCCATGGACCTGCTACCTTCTTCGGTTAATGGGATGCTCATACCATCTATTACAATTTTAGCATGGTGGCTACAGGTTTCGGGAGAAAATTCAAAGCTTATTTTTGCTTCATGCACCCATAACCAACCTTGCCCCAATACCAGATCGAATGGTGGATTTTTGCGAATTTCGAAGCTTATTGCATCGGTACCATCTAAGCTATGATATGTTCCCTTATACTGGAATTGTAAATCCAAACAATTTATTTCATCTATTGCGTCTCCATAAAGATTCTTAACAGGGCTACAGATAGGACGTATTCCATGATTTGATTTAAGTTTATCGAACAACCTTTTACTAATGGTATTAAATTTCGAGGATGTATCAATTAACACTTTGACTGGGGTTTTTCCTTCGACGAGTGTATCAACAAACATGTTAAGTGTATTTAATAATGTATATTACCACGAAAAATAACTAATAACTCGATAAATAATTATATATTCTCAAGATCGGAAGAGCCTGTCTCAGATTTGGATGCACAATCCTCTAAGCTAACCGAAAAAAATAAATATGGCAGACAGGTAGGCCGACTTGCTTTCCTACATTAGGTAAATATAATTTGTTAAACGAAAAATTATCATGCGGTATCATTTTATATAACTCGATAATTAATTTTTAGAAGTGATGCCTTAAATTTCATGGGTGATATGGCGGTGGTGGATCATGCTTAGCACGTATTTCATTCATAGTCAGCAATTTTACTAAACCTTCTAATGGAAGATATTTTCCGCATTCTTCTGCTACCAGCTGGTTTTTGGGATTTAATCCTGCGACGAAAATATTCTTGAGAAGTTTCTCCTTTATAGAAAGATTAGCTCGTGCCGGTGATGGGTTCTCTTGCTCACATACCTTTATCGTCTTGACATATTCATCTACGGACTGATTGTGTTGTGTAAGCGACGGAATTCCCGACCCAATAATTAATGGTATAGCAGTTCCATCAAGGAGTGTAAGAATTTTATTTGGGAAGTCCAATTCCATTGCATTATCTTTAAATCATGGCTGATCCAATATCAGTACAGATTCAAGTTCAAGTTTATTGGTAATGAAAACATCGGTAACTTTTACTTGCTCCCATTTTCGATCTTGAGACAGTGTAGAATATTAATTTTATTTATTTTTATTATATTATTATTTAATGTATTTATTATTTATTTGTAATTTATGT